ATTTGACAATAAATTTCATATATAAATAAAAAAAAAAAAGATGTCACTAAAGGTATATGTAAGTATATACAAGTATATAAAGTGATAAAAGGAGAGAAACCATAATGATTAGAAACCATAGTGAAGGAATATAACTACATCAAAAAAGTTCAGGCAGGGGCACCTGGTTGGCTCTGTCAGTAGAGCACGCAACTCTTAATCTCTTGGGATTATGAATTTGAGTCCCATGTTGGGCATAGAGATTACTTTAAAAAAAGAAAGAAAAGAAAGTTCAGGCATAATTAGAAAAGATCCAAAGACTTCTAGAAATAAGAATAAATCATTGGAATGCCTGGGTAGCTTAGTTGGTTGAGTGTCCAGCTCTTGAATTCAGCCCAGGTTATGATCTCATATTTCATGGGTTCAAGCCCTGTGTCAGGCTCTGTGCTGACAGCACAGAGGCTGCTTGGGGTTCTCTTTTTTTTTAAGTTTATTCATTTAGTTTTGGTGGGGGGGAGAGAATGAGCAGGGGAGGAGCAGAGAGAGCAGGAGAGAGAGAATATCCCAAGCAGGCTCATGCTCCACTGTGAGCCTGATGCACTGCTTGATCCCAAGACCCTGGGATCATGGCCTGAGCCAAAATCAAGAGTTGGATGCTTAACCAACTGAGCCATCCAGGCGCGCCCCCCCATCTTAATCATTTTTAAATGTACAGTTCAGTAATGTTAAGTACATTCACATTGCTGTGCAGCCATTCACCAGCACTCTTCAAACCTGCAAAACTAAAACCCATTAACATGATTACCCATTACTCCAGCCCTTGGCAACCACTGACTGCTTTCTGTCTCTGGTTTTATCTGATCAAGATATGTCATATAAATGGAATCATAAAATAACGGGGTCTTTTGTGTTTGGCTTCTTTAACTTAGCATAATGTTTTCAAGGTTCGTGATGTAGCATGTATCAGTATTTTATTCCTTTTTATGACTACATAACATTTTGTTTCATGGATATACCACAAATTTGTTTATCCATTTGATCTGTTTCCACCTTTGGCTATCGTGAATAATACTGCTATAAAACATGTGTGTATAAGTTTTTGAGTATATGTTTTCATTTCTTTTGGGTGTATGACTACAAGTGGAATTGCTGAGTCATGGAATTCTATGTTTAATTTTTTAAGGAACCACCAAACGATTTTTCACAGCAGCTGAACTGTTTCACATTCCCACCAACAATGTATAAGAGTTTCAGTTTGTCCATATCCTTGCCAACACTTGTGTTTTGTATGTTTGTATGTATGTATGTATG